AGACAGGTTTAGAGGGAACATACTTCAACATAATAAAGGCCATATATGAAAAACCCACACCTAACAACATACTCAATGGTGAAAACATGAGAGCTTTTCCTATAAGACTAGGAAAAAGACATGGATGTCCGTTCTCACCACTTTTATTCAACTTAGTACTGGAAGTCCCAGTTACAGCAATCAGACAAAAAAAGAAATAAAAGGCATCCAAATTTGTAAGAAAGTAAAACTTTTTTTTTTTTTAAGTTTATTAGAGAGCAGCACATGAGCGTTGGGGGGAGATGGGGAGAAGCTGGCTCCCCGCTGAGCAGGGAACCTGATGCGGGGCTGGGCTCAATTCTAAGACACCGGAATCATGACCTGAGCTGAAGGCAGACACTTAAGCAACTGAGCCACCCAAGTGCCCCAAGAAAGTAAAACTTTATTCACTACTTGCAGATGTCATGATACTACTATATAGAAAACCCTAAAGACTCCACTAAAAAACTACTAGAACTGATTAATGAATTCAGTAAGGTCGCAGGATACAAAATCAATATACAGAAATCCATTGCACTTCTATACACTAACAATGAATTAACAGAAAGAGAAACTAAGAAAACAATCCCATTTACAATTGCACCAAAAATAACAAAATACCTAGGAATAAACTTAACCAAGGAGAAGAAAGACCTATATTCTGAAAACTATAAAACACTAATGAAAGAAATTGAAGATGACACAAACAAATGGAAAGATATTCCATGCTTATGGATTGGAAGAACAAATACTGTTAAGATGCCCACACTACCCAAAGCAATCTACGGATTTAATGCCATCTCTATCAAAATACCAACAGTATTTTCTTTTTTTTTTTTTAAAGATTTTATTTGTTTATTTGAGAGAGAAGAGAGATAGCGAAAGCAGGAACACAAGCAGGGGGAGTAGGAGAGGGAGAAGCAGGCTTCCTGCCGAGCAGGGAGCCAGATGTGGGACTCGATCCCAGGACCCTAGGATCATGACCTGAGCTGAAGGCAGACACTTAACGACTGAGCCACCCAGGCGCCCCCAAACAGTATTTTTCATAGAACTAGAACAATCCTAAAATTTGTATGGAACCATAAAAGAAACCAAAATAGCCAAAGCAATTGTGAGAAAGAACAAAAAAAGCTGGGACATACCATAATCTCAGATTTTAAGATACACTTACAAGGCTGTAGTAATCAAAACAGTATAGTACGGACCGTATAGACATACAGATCAATGGAAGAGAATAGAGAGCCCAGAAATAAACCCATGATTGTATAGTCAATTAATCTTTGACAAAGATACATGATAATGTAATGGGAAAGTCTCTTCAACAAATGGTGTTGAGAAAAGTAGACCACTTTCTTATACCATACACAAAAATAAACTCAAAATGGATTAAGGACCTTAATTGTGAGACCCGAAACCACAAAAGTCCTAGATGAGAGCACAACTAGTAATTTCTCTGACATTTTCCATAGCAACATTTTTCTAGATATGTCTCCCGAGGCAAGGGAAATAAAAGCAAAAATAAACTATTGGGACTACATCAAAATACAGAGCTTCTGCACAGCAAAGGTAACAGTCAACAAAACTAAAAGACAACCTAAAGAATGGGAGAAGATGTTTGTAAATGACATATCAGATAAAGGGTTAGTATCCAAAATATATAAAGAGCTTACATAACACCAAAAAACCCCATATAATCCAATTAAAAATGGACATAAATTGTAGGAAACAAACTGAGGGTTGCTGGAGTGGGGGGTGGGGTGGGAGGGATGGGGTGACTGGGTGATAGACACTGGGGAGGGTATGTGCTCTGGTAAGCACTGTGAATTGTGCAAGACTGTTGAATCTCAGATCTGTACCTCTGAAACAAATAATGCAATATATGTTAAGGAAAAAAAAAAAAGAAGAAGATAGCAGGAGGGGAAGAATGAAGGGGGGGAATCAGAGGGGTAGACAAACCATGAGAGACAATGGACTCTGAAAAACAAACTGAGGGTTCTAGAGGTTTAGGAGGATGGGTTAGCCTGGTGATGGGTATTGAGGAGGGCACGTTCTGCATGGAGCACTGGGTGTTATGCACAAACAATGAATCATGGAACACTTCATCTAAAACTAATGATGTAATATATGGGGATTAACATAAGAATAAAAAATAAATAAATAAATAATGGACATAAAATATGAATAGACATTTCTCCAAAGAAGACATACAGATGGCCAAAAGACAAATTAAAAATGCTCAACATCACTCGTCAGGGAAATGCACATTAAAACCACAATGAGATATATATCACCTCCAACCAGTCAGAATGACTAAAATCAAAAACACAAGAAATAAGTATTGGCAATGATGTGGAGAAAAAGGAACCCTCATGCACTGTTGGTGGGAATGCAAACTGGTGCAGCTACTGGGGAAAACAGTATGGAGTTTCCTCAAAAAATTAAAAAAGAACTACCATATGATCCAGTAATTGCACTACTGGGAATTTACCCAACGAATACAAAAACACTAATTTGAAAAGGTACATGCACCCCTAGGTTTATTGCAGCATTATTTACAACAGCCAAAGTATGGAAGCAGCCCAAGTGTCCATCAGTAGGTGAGTGGATAAAGAAGTAGTATAACTATACACAGTGGAGTATTACTCAGCCATAAAAAAGAATGAAATCCTACCATTTGCAACAACATGGGCAGAGCTAGAGTATAATGCTAAGTGAAATAAGTCAGAGAAAGACATATACCATGTTCTCATACTCATATGTGGAATTTAAGAAACAAACCAAAACAAAACCAAAACAAAGAAAAACCAAAAAACAGACTCTTAACTATAGGGAACAAACTGATGGTTATCAGAGGGGAGGTTGGTGGGGAGATGGGTGAAATAGTTGAAGGGGATTAAAAATTCACTTATCCTAATGAGTACCGATAGCATTGCTGAATCACTATGTTGTACACCTAAACTTACTGTAACACTGTATGTTAACTATACTGGAATTTTATTTTATTTTATTTTATTTTATTTTATTTTTTTTTAAAGATTTTATTTATTTGAGAGAGAGAGAACGAGAGAGAGAGAGAGAGCACATGAGAGGGGGGAGGGTCAGAGGGAGAAGCAGACTCCCTGCCGAGCAGGGAGCCCGATGTGGGACTCGATCCAGGGACTCCAGGATCATGACCTGAGCCGAAGGCAGTCGCTTAACCAACTGAGCCACCCAGGCGCCTATACTGGAATTTTAAAAAAATTTTTCATTTGGATGCAGGTATTAAGAAATCTAGTAGAGATTACCCAATAACCCATCTTGCAACCTGCGCTCTTGAAAAAAGTAAAATATTCTTCCCCCCACCCCCCAAAAAGAAAATGTCCCAACCAAAAAGAAAATGTCCCAACCAAAGGGCTTAAAGAAATACAGTATCATATTTAACTTGGAATCATTATTCCTGCTGATTCTGTAATGTGCTTATCCTTAAGGTGATTAAGCAAAGTCTCATTTGGCTATGAGAATGCATTCAAATTTGCAAAAGGAACAAGGATGTTAAATTATACAGCCAGTTGGGAAGAATACAACTTTTTATAAAACTGTCTTTTTTTTTTTTTTTAAAGATTTTATTTGAGGGGTGCCTGGGTGGCTCAGTTGGTTAAGCATCTGCCTTCAGCTCAGGTCATGACCCCAGAGTCCTGGAATTGAGCCCCATGTCAGGCTCCCTTCTCAGAGGGGAGCCTGTTTCTCCCTCTCCCTGCTCGTGCTCTCACAATCTGTGTCTCTCTCTCTCAAATAAATAAATAAAATCTTAAAAAAAAAAAAGATTTTATTTGAGAGAGATAGACTGCATGAGTGGGGGAGAGGGTTACAGGGAGAGGGAGAGGCAGAGAAAATCAAGCAGACTCTGCACTAAGCTTGGAGCCCAACGTGGGACTCAATCTCACGACCCTAAGATCACAACCTGAGCTGAAACCAAAAGTATGACACTTAACCGACTGAGCCATCCTTGTGCCCCAAACTGTCAGGTTTTAATACCAATAACCTAGAACATAGGGGTAAAGCCTATTCATAATCATAACACTCCAGAATTAGTAATTATTGCCAGAAACTATTGATAGGGGGTGGGAAAAGTAATAAATAAGAGATCGTCAGTGCAGATAAATACAGGTTTAATGATCCATTTTTCGTCACACAGATGGCTACAGAGACTTTATAATCCCAGGATATACAACAATACAACACAGACCAATCAGCCAATTCTAAAATAAACTTGGCTTCTTACAACTATCCTGTAAACACTGCAGCCCTTCTTCCATCCAAAATGACCCTCATCTCACATGAAAAGTTTCTATAGGGGAACCAGAAACCTAGCTTTGTGGCCAAAAGTAATAACCAAAGGAAAAATAGTAATTCGGTAGTTAGTTGGTCAAAGAAGGATATCTGGTGCCCTTCACTGTGCTGCTTTGCTCTTCTTACTCTTGCTCTTTTTGTCCCTCTTCTTCAGCCCATCCATGTTAGCTCTCAATAGGTTTGAGTAAGCCTAAAAGACACACAGCACGAACTTAGTGGGAAGAGTTGCAAATCGGTGGAGCAGCTGCCCCCATTTCCACAATGAATTTAGAGTAGTCAATATTAGAAAGGCTATCTACCTGATAAAGCATGTAATACCGTGGGATATTTGTATCCTATGCAAAATGGTGTAAAAGGAAAACACACCCTCACATTACAGCAGCTTCCGACATTTTTTAACCAAAAAGGGAAAACCATAGGCAACTTCTTGTTTAACTATACTATAGATAGAACAAATCTGAAGCTTAATGCAAAATCTACCTTTAAAAACTAAAAAGGAAGACAATACCAGTGTTGAAAGTAAAAAATCAAACCCTGGCAGCTTTTACTCAAAGTACTGGCAAAACATAAGAAATATCATTCTTGACACAGTGTTCAATTTTGTGCTCACTCTTGCCCTGAGAAAGGGCATACAGGGAACACCAGAAACTCACCATCTGAAACTTGTTCACTTCTTTGGAGCTCACCTGGAAAAGGGAAAGAAAAAAAAGGTGCACCTCTATTACCCATATAGGAATCCTCTGTCTCACCACAGGCAATAACTCAAAAGCCCCATTAAAACAACATCATAATCTTTTTTTTTTTTAAAGGTTTTATTTATTTATTTGACAGAGAGATAGAGAGAGAGCGCAAGTAGGCAGAGAGGCAGGCAGAGGGAGAGGGAGAAGCAGGCTCTCCGCTGAGCAGGGAGCCCGATGTGGGGCTCGATCCCAGGACCCCGGGATCATGACCTGAGCCGAAGGCAGCCACTTAATCAACTGAGCCACTCAGGCACCCCAACAACATCATAATCTTTAAAATACATCTTTCCAACTTCAGGGGTCATAATACACTAACAGCTATTCTTCTCCTCCACTTTACTTTGCCTGAGAAAGAAGCAAATCAGCTCTGCACTTTTTTCCTCATAAGAATTGTACCAAGAAGGGCAAGAGGCAGAAGGGGGATCCTAAAGAAGTTAAGTTTCTCACCTCTGAAATTTCTTATACACATGGCACTGACTTTCTCCCTGGATTCCAGAGAGGTCAGAGAACTTCATTTTAATCTTTTGTGCAAGATATATTTAAACTACTCCCTCCTCATCTTATTTTAAACCTACCTTCCATTAATTCAGGCCTATTTAAGCAAAATGCAAGCTACCACAAGAGAAATTCTACTTCTGAAGATTCCCAAGGTTTTCACATCTCATGATACCCAAGTTCATTTTTTAAAACCACATAAGTTTGGGGTGCCTGGATGGCTCAGTCCGTTAAGCGTCTGCTTCGGCTCAGGTCACGATCCCAGGGTCCTGGGATTGGGACCCACATCAGACTCCCTGCTCAGCGGAGAGCCTGCTTCTCCCTGCTGCTCTGCCTACTTGTGCTCTCTTTCTATCTCTCTGCCAAATAAATAAATAAAATCTTTAAAAAAATAAATAAAATAAAACCACATTACATTTGCTTTACTATAAAAGTCCTCTCAAGATAACTGGTAAAGGGAGACTTAACTAATTATGGTCTACATTCTCATGAATGTCCTATCCTGATGTGACTGAAGAGCAGTCTGGTTCTGCTCCAGCAAAGTAAAGAAGCATTCATTCAGAATCCAGAAAGTCTATTGCTTTGCCACATTCAACCTCCACCTTGAAAGGGAACACTAGGGCTGCTTACTAAATTCATATTCTCTGTTTGTTAGTACCAGGCCTACTATACAGCTACATGCTTGCTATGTCAACCACAAACTCAAGCAAATTATCAGCTTACAAGTAAAATCATCTGGTACCAAGAAACTGTTCACTGAAGGTCCAACCCAGTAAGGGAATTAAGAATCAAATATTTATGCCAACTGCTCCTTACAATGCCACCATGTGTAAGGATTAATATGCTAATTTTATTTCCACAAAAACTTCAGTAGAGGGGCGCCTGGGTGGCTCAGTTGGTTAAGCGACTGCCTTCGGCTCAGGTCATGATCCTGGAGTCCCGGGATCGAGTCCCGCATGGGGCTCCCTGCTTGGCGGGGAGTCTGCTTCTCCTTCTGACCCTCCCCCCTCTCATGCTCTCTCTCTATCTCATTCTCTCTCTCTCAAATAAATAAATAAAATCTTTAAAAAAAAAAACAAAACTTCAGTAGAACCAACGAGTATTTTGCTTCTTCAACTTAATTTTGCTCTTGAATTTCCTACTACTAGGGTAATAAAAGGTGGCCCTGATCCTGAAACAGCTGGGGAGCTACACCCTTACTAGCCTTACAAAAACCTGGTTCAGATATGCCCAACCTCAGTTAAGTTCAAGTCTTCCCTCTCCAAAATTGTACTATCAGGAATCCAACTCACCACAGTGCTGATCTTCTTTTTCCCATCAGTAGCTCTTAACAGACACTTGTTGTCTGAGGGCTCAAAGCCCTCTACAGAACCTTTCCTTGGAATGGGTTTAGTTCGACCATCATCTGCATGAAAAACACATCCTGGTGAACAGAGCCACAAACGTTAACAGGTAGACAAGACGTTAATAAGTAGGGAGGGGATATGAAGACGATACCCAATTCATCTCCACTGCTCTAGATCTGTTAACTACATCAAATTTGGCCAAACCTTGGGAAACTACTTGCCATTTCCACAACGGGAACACAGTAATTGCAAAGCAGATGAAATCTCACTAATGGTGGCGGGGGTTTGGGATCCTTGACCGCCCCCCCTCCCCGCAAGAAGCCCTCTCTGATTGGTGCACACTGTAACCAGAACCAGCTTGGGTAGCTAAATGCTGGGGTGTCGCACGCGCCACATTCCCTAATGCTCAGGTCCCCCAGCCCTGAATGTTCCCAGTACGGGGGGAGGAAGATGGGGGAAGGCGGGGATGCGCGGCAGACAGACTCCGCCCTCGGTTCCCGACACTGGGCACCCCGGGACACTGGGCACCCCGGCCGGGGCGTTGCTCGGCCTCCCAAATTCCTTCTGGCCTTGCCGCGTCTACAGCTGCTTACACTTCTTCAGTGTGATGAACACGCTGCCCGACAACCGGCACTTCTGGAAGAGTCTGGTCAGCTCCGTCAGGAACTGGAACACAAGCCGGGCCCCGTTAAGCAGTCCCAAATCCTCGCCCCGTCAAGTCCCAGTCCCTCCCGCAGTAGAAGGCAGAGGCCCCCCAGCTAAGCCCCAAACTATATCCGTCCCTCAGCCGACCCTCCGGCTTTACCTGCTCGCTCTCCAGCAGCACCATTCCGGCACCGCTAGCTCCCCTGCGTCAGCATAGGGCCCAAGCAATTAGAGCCGGAAGCTTTCGCCCAGAATGGGCGGGACTTCCGCTATTAGATTGCAACTCTCTTCCACCAATCCCTGCCTCCGTTCTCTCCTCTCCCTCCGCCAGCGCCTGCGCTCTGCGCCACCCCCCGCCCCCCCGCCCGCGTAGACTGACCAGCTGTAGGGCCTTCGGGCGGCCAGGGGTTTCAGCGGCTTGGAAGTTCTCTCGCTCGCGTCAGTGTGAGGGAGCGAGGGAGCGCGAAAGAGGGCTTTGATGGAGACCTGTAGTATACCTCTAGTATATTCAGTTGTATGTTGGGCAAATTACCTAACAGCTCAGTGCTTCCGTTTCCTGAGCCTGTGATAAAAACGGTATCCAATTCAGAGTGTGGTTGTGAAGAGTAAATTAATTTAGCATCTGGAATGGTGCCTGGCACACAGAAAGTGCTCCATAAGCATTAACTGCCTTTGTTGTTGTTGTTTTCATTATCACTGTCATCATGATAGTAAGTTCCCATGGCGGTCCTCTGAACGCTCCTTCTATCTACTCTGACCAGGCTAGTGCCCTAAATAAAGGCTGAGCCCAGCTCTCGCAAGAGGGACTGGAGTCCAGTCTTGGTTTCCCTCTGGATTCAGGCAGGAGACCTGAATTCCAGGCCCTGCTCTGCCGGTAGCCAACTTGAACCCCAGGCCCTCTGTGAAGTCAAGCATTTAATCATGCAAGGGTTTTTTACTGAGGGCCTCTTCGCCTGAGCCAGACACTCTTGCTGGGGTTGAGGATACAGCAGGATAAGCGAAGTTCCTGGTTTCCTGGGTTAACTTGGGTTAAAGGAATAGGCAGGAAATAAGTAAGAATAGCTTCAGATAATGATGAGCCCTGTGAAGACAACAGGGTGATACAAATGAGAGAGAGGTTGGGGTCAGGAAAATCTCTTAGGGCAGAACTTTGAGCCAAAAGCTAAAGGAACCAGCCATTCAAAGATCTGGGGACAGTGTTTCAGACACAGGGAATGGCAAGAACAAAGGCCTCAATGGAGACAAGTTGCTCTGGGTCCACAAGGAGGAGTGAAAGACTATTGAGAGCTTGAAGAGATAACAGGTGACCAGCTCATAAAGGGCCTATGGCCATGCTAAGTTTGGATTTTGTTCCACGCACAAAGAGAAGCTTGTTAAGGAAGTTTTAAAGAGGACAGTGACAATCTAATTTACATTTTAAAAGCACCGCCTCCTTCCATCTGTGGTATGGAGAACGCACTGTAGAATGACAAGGCAGGAAATGGGGAGACCAATTAGAGGGTTGTATTGGCTTCCTATTGCTAATCACCACAAACTTAGTGGCTTAAAACAACATGAATTTGTTATTTTACATGTCTGGAGGTCAGAAATCTAAAATCAATGTGTCTGCAGGGTTGCCTTGTGTCTGAAAGCTTCAGGGTAAAATCTGTTTCATTGTCCTACCAGAAGCCACTTTCATTCCTTGGCTTGTGGCCCCTTCTTTCCATCATTACAATCTCTTACTTCCAGTATATCTCCTACTACTTTGATTCTACTGCCTCCCTTTTATAGGGACCTGTGATTACACTGGGCCTTTCTGGATAATCTCCTCATCTAGAGATCCTTAATTTAATCACACCTGCAAATTCCTTTAAACATGTAAGGTAACATATTCATAGATTCCCAGTATTTGGACACAGACATCTTGGCTGAGTGGGAGGGGCTACCACAGAGGTTACTGCGAAAGCCCAGGTGCAAGCACATTTGCAATCAGGTTAGGGTATACTTAGCGTCAACAGGACTCAAGCACAATTGGATGTGAACATTAGAAGGAAAAAGAAATTGGGAATGAGTCAAAGGTTTTTGATTTGAACAACTGGGTGGATGGTGGTGCCATCTACTAAGATAGGCAAGACCTCGGAAGTAAAATGTTTTGTAGGAAGATTAAAAGTTTTGTTTGGTCATGTAATATCTGAAATGCATATTACATGTTCTTTTAGGGTTCCCAGACCCAATTCCAATGTCAGTAGTGCAGTGGGAGCTTGCCACGTACACAACACCAGGCAATTCTGACACTATCTACCCAAAGATAGTATCAGAATCCACAGATTAAGAGTTCAGTCCTGTAAGACTGCTCCCTGACCTCCCACTGCCAATGCTAGTCACTAGCCCAAACGTTCCAACAATCTCCACCTTAGATTCGATTAATTTGCTAGAGCAGGTCACAGAACTCAGGGAAACACTTATATTTATCAGTTTCAGTTTATTAAAGGATATGATAAATGTTAATAACAAGACATCCTTTTCGCCTTTATGGCTCTGAGGTGTTTTCAGGAACTGTGTATGAAGAGCAAATACATCTGAGAAATATGTTCTGGTCATCTGAATGACCAAATATATATTTCTTTTAAATCATTATATTGCACATGTCCAAGTAGAACTATCAAATAAGCAGCTGAATATACAAGTTTGGAGCTCAGGAAAGAGGTCAAAGTTATACATAAAAATTGGGGTCTCATACGTCATGAGACTAGAACAGATGGGAACAGTCTGGTGAGTCCCCCTCCTTTAGGCCTGCCAGCACAGGACTACTCTGTGATGACCAGCACTATGAATAGCCTCTAAAAAGCCCTGGGTCTTGGTATCACTGGCTCAGAAGTCAGAGTCCTAGCTGGGAGCTCCAATTTGGCCAACCCTAGGTCTATGCTTGAGCCCAAGTCCTGCGGGCAGGTGAGAGAGTGACTCTCTGACCCTTTTATTTTACTTGCTTTTCAGCAAGACCCACACAATGGGGGATTACAAAGAGATTCAGATCCCAGAGAACCAAAAGCCAGCATAGGTCTGCTACACAAAGTCAACAGCCTAGGATGAGAAGTGGGCAAAGGGTATGCTTGAAAGAAAGTGTGAAATCATCAGCGAGTGAACATATTTGAGATGTGTTGTCAGATTGCCAGGGAATATAAGGCCCCCCTTGATATTTGTGTCATGAATTTAGGTGGAACCAGGTACAGTGCTGTGTTGGCCTAAATGATGACCACTGTGCTCTGAACTTCTATCATTCATGGAACATTGAGCAATATTCTATGGAGCCATGATTTTGGTGCTGGGGGCACCAGGGTGAAGGAAATGGTCCTGCCCTTAAGGAGCACTGGAGGCCACTATTCATCTGCGGACTCCCAGGAAGGAGTCCAGCCTTCAATGTGGACATATCTCACTGCTTCCCGTGGGTTCAGCCACACCTCAGTTCCACTCGAGAGTCATTAGTCATGCCAGCCATCCAGCATGACATCTCAGGCCTGTCCCATAACAGAACAAACTACTCTAGTAATAGAAATACCCAAGTCTGCCAGTTTTAGCATCACACTTGGGCCAGTACAATTCAACTACCAACAGAGTGTTCTTTGGGCTCTATTTTTCTGTGGGAAGTGACGAAGAGCACCTCTTCTGAAGTCCAGTGGGTCTGGGTTCAGATCCCGCCTCCGCTACTTATTATGTGACCTCAGGCAACCTCTCAAGGTTCCAAATCTCTTCATCAGCAAAATGACAATAATACTTACTCATAGATGTTGTAAAGATTTTATAAAATACTAAATTTAAGACCTTTAGGCTTGTTCTGTTTAATATGGTAAATATGGATACAAAAATTTAAATTAATTAAAATTAAAAGAAAAAATTCGATTCTTTAGTCTCTCTAGCCACATTTCAAGGATTCGATAGCCACATGTGGCTTGGATGGTGCAGATATAGAGCATTTCTATTGTCATAGATTCTACTGGACAGCACTACAGAATATGTCAATAGCATTGATGCTGGCAGACTGAATGCGCAAGGGGCACTTGGGTGGCTCAGTTGGTTAAGCGTCTGCCCTCAGCTCAGGTCACAATCCCAGGGTCCTGGGATCCAGCCCCACATCGGGCTCCCTGCTCAGTGGGGAGCCTTCTTCTCCCTCTCCCTCTGCCCCTCCCCCCCCTTGTGCATGCCCGCCCAGTAAATAAATAAATAAATAAATAAAATCTTTCAAAAAAAAGAAGAATGAATGCTCAATAACAGTAATAAACAACAGTGTTATTATTTATAGACCAGCCACCTTCCATCATTTGGACTCCACCTTGATTTCTGCCATCATCCCAATATCACCTGTATTATTAGTTAAAAGGTTTCTTTAAGTTGACTCATTTTATACTTAAACAGATTTATATAATATCATTTTCATAAATGGAAAACCAGTATCATTAAATAATAAAAGGAATCACAAGGGCGCCTGGGTGGCTCAGTCGTTAAGCGTCTGCCTTCGGCTCGGGTCATGATCCCAGGGTCCTGGGATCGAGCCCCGCATCGGGCTCCCTCCTCCGCAGGAAGCCTGCTTCTCCCTCTCCCACTCCCCCTGCTTGTGTTCCTGCTCTAGCTATGTCTCTCTCTGTCAAAAAAATAAATAAAATCTTAAAAAAAAAAAAGGAATCACAAATATAACTACTATGAAAAAAACACCATGGTTAAATTTAAAATTTTTAGATTAAAAAATTTAAAACAATGAATGAAAGCAATAATTGCTTTTATATTGCAACAAAAGTGAATTGCTTTATAAAAATATATATCTGAAAAGAAATTCCTCAATGAGAAAAAAATGGAGCTGTTTATGGTCCGTCAGGAATGAAGTTAGCCCAGTGAACAATGAAATTAAGAGACTATATCAATAAGACATAGTTAAATTTTAATGTTTTCAAGCACCCCAAATCCTACCTTGCAATTAAGTTGGTGGCTTTTGGCACTTGGAGCAGAGGAATATGTGAGGCAGGGAGCTGGATCACTAGCTCCAAGTCACGCAGCCAGACACCTTCCTCCTCCTTCTCCCTCACCCCCAGGAGAAATGGGAAATAAAAATGGCTCCCAAATCCCCTCCCACATCCTAGGGCCTTCAGCAAACGCCCAAGCAGCACCAAGAGCAACACGGAGCCCCTTAGCACAGAACACTGGCATCTACTTGACTAACCTTAGCTGCTATGGAAAACCTGGGAGAGAAAAATCCCCCGAGCTCCTCAGCAGCACAGGGGCCTAAGGGCCTAAAGGAGAGTC